TTTTTTTGTCACTTTGAATCAAGTATATTACAGTGTTACTCTGCAACACATTACTATGACCAACCTTACCTCATGTTTTAGCTTAGCAATAGTCTGCATGGTGTCACTCTCATCACGGGCCCCTGTGGACATAAATACAAATACATAAATACATAAACACATTAATACACACATCCATGCACTTCAGCAGCTGGTTGATAATTAAGATTCATTCATTCATTTAAAAAATGCATCTTAACCAAAGCTGATATTAGACTTTCATTTTAATGTGATCCGCTCCAGTCTGATATATGTACGTGTGTGTGTCTGTGTGTGTTAACCTGAGGTAGCTGAATCAGGGCTGGGTAGGAAACTCTGAGTTGCACTGGGAGAAAAATCAAACTTATGAGATGGACCGCTTTGGTTTTCTGTCTCGATCCCATCCACAAACCTGAGGACAGAAGGGAGGACTGAGTCCATAAATTGAATTCTCACAAGGAAATTCAAGAGTGACACTTCCCCTCTGACAAAGAACAACATTTGAGTAATCAGATCTACATATTTGCATATCTGCTGTCTCTGTGTGAGACAATAAGACAGAAGTTCCACATGGTGGCAGCAGACTAACAGATATTTTTACCCTGTGACACAATGCCAAGGTACAGATGACATATCCATGTACTGTAGGGCAAACTACAACTAAGCTGCATGCTGTAGCATGCTGTGAGTATGCAAGCAGGTACAAATGGGATTTCCTTGTTTAAGATAACATACAAGATCCCACATATCCCTTGTGACTCTGCATTATTCAAGACAAAAACAAATCACCAAAGCAACAAAATGAATTTAACTGCAGTGTATCATATGAAATCTCTTCTTCTGTGGCAACCATTGCAAGCTAACATTATCATACAAAAACCCTTTAGAGGACCCTGATTAAAGCACTGCCTGATATCTTCAGTAAAAATCCACTCTCATTCTTATCATTAGTGGGACTAAACCGTTTCTCCTGCAGGTGGAGAAATCAGCAGGGTGGAAACCTTTCGGAGCATGAAGCTGCTCAGAAAATGTCATGGTAATTTGCCTATTAGCTTATAAATTATCCTTGGCAAAACACATTTTGGTATGAGGGTGATAGTGGAGTGAAAACCATGCAGTCCAGTATGTAAATGTCTCATCCTCTGAGGAGGATAACTTTGGGAATCAGCTAAAACTGACTCATCTCTACACAAGTCTACAAGTTCACTTCTTTTCCTGTAATAAAGAGCTGATGTGGAATAAAAAAAGTCCCATTTAGAGATTGCCCAAACCCATTAGTGCCTCACTGGTTTTGTTTTAATAATCAAATCACACACCTCACTATTGCCAATGATTGCACTTTATCTCATCATTTAATATCTGTTTTTCAACTGTTTGTGTATTTTCCTCATCATACATACCTTATCAATCCCCAATTTTTTCAGCTTTTATCACAGCTGCTGTAAATTAATGTCCTCATTTATCAGTAAGAAGTTGTTTGTTTGTTTCCTTTGAAGCAGAAGATAAAGGTCAATCTACCAATTCCTTGTTATGAGACTGATAAATTGAATGATTGGTTTATTTATTTTCCTTCCAATGAAAAGCGGTGCCCCTTTCAACAAGGGCAAAGATTTCATTCTAAAAAATAGTTATTCCAGTACATGGTGAGACAATAAGAGTCACCAAAATCATGAGATTCATCTTCTGGGGACAACGAATGTCAGCAGACAGGGACGTTTGATGCATCACTCTCTCGCTTTCTGACACCTATCTACAATTCTGTAATAAAAGTTTTAAAAAATTTCAAAAAACAAGTGGCCATCTGAGTTGCCTGTTCTAAGCAAACAAAAACGTAACAATTTTTATTTTCCGGTCATTTTACACCAATGTAAACATAACTAAATTGACCTTAATAACTATATAGAAATAGCCAATCTTCTCGCTGATGGTCCTATTTGTTTATGTAGGTCATACAGAGGCATCAGTATTAAATTGAGACTCTTTCATAACCAGTTAAACACTCCTTGTGATGCGTTTAAGAACTGTATAACTACTTATTTACTTCTTTTTCTATATAAACGTAAATTACATCAAAATTATATTAATTATATATAAAGTTTCCCCATTCCCATGCAGCCTCAGCCAAAACACTTTCAGTTTCTATTATCTGCAAAATACACTGGTCTCAGATTCTCTCCACAAACTCTACAGAGTTCACCAATATGTTAAATTCAAAATCATGACTTGCATACTGCACCTCCCGGTGAATGGATCACGACAGAGATCGCTTATGGAAATGTAATCCATATGATGGCAGTCAGCAGGTCAGAGGTTGTACTCAGTAGGAGCAGATGAAGAGAAGCC